CCCCCCCCCCCCCAATAGTCCACTTCTACAACATGCTCATTTAGGGAGCAGTGGATCTATTATTGTTCCCCCCCCCCCAATAGTCCACTTCTACAACATGCTCATTTAGGGAGCAGTGGATCTATTATTGTCCCCCCCCCCCCCCCCCCAATAGTCCACTTCTACAACATGCTCATTTAGGGAGCAGTGGATCTATTATTGTCCCCCCCCCCCCTCTCCTCTACAACGGGGCCCTGAAACCCACACTGGGAATCCAGCAGACAATTTTCAGCTTCAAAATAAAACACCAATCACAAACAATCATGAAGATGAGCGGGCTCAAAACCTTTGATCCACTGGGATAGGAAAGGCAAAAACAAGCAGTCTAATTAATTAACTAGGGGCTTCACGCAATCCTCTAGGCCAGGGCTATCCAACTGCTGGCCCGCCGAGGCCTAGTGGGCAGCGGATTACTGCTGGTTGTACTGAATTAGTAATCTTTCTACATTGGGACTCGAGCCCGTGGCAAACCCATTTTCAATGTTTTTTTTTCTGAGGAAACTTAACTAAGCAGCCCTGCTCTTTGGTTACCAGGGTTAGATTACTATGGTACGCTTTTAAGAGAGAGACCGTTCTTGTAGCTTTTAAACAAATACAACACCACATTTTCATTCAAAAAACACCAATTCTTACTTACTATATATACATGACAGACCACATTAATTCTAAATCAATGGGCTACATGTTTTGTGGTGCCCCAATATAACTGTGCTATATGGCTATATTTATACAACGGATCACCATCATGGCACTCAGGTTTAATCCATAAGTGCTCCGTTCTACTTCTAACTCAAGCCTGAGTCTGAACAATCTCAGCGCAGTGCACGAACTCTGTTGCACCGGCGAGGATCCTAAAATACTTTGAGTAGATTTTTAACACCAAAATGTTGCTATATGGCTATAAGGAAGTGAATCAGGGGACAGTTGGTAACTTAGCGAAAACTTACTTGAAAGCTGTGGAGATGTGATGTTATAGCTGAATGATGAGAATACCCTGGACAGATAAAAAGAGTAATGAAAATGTCTTGAAAGAAACTGACTCACGAAGATAAACTGACTGCCCACTTCAGACAGAGACAATCTACATTCTCTGGTCATGTGATGAGAAGCCGACAACTGGAGTACTTCCTACAGTAGGCACCTCCTGCCTTCAGACAGAGACAATCTACATTCTCTGGTCATGTGATGAGAAGCCGACAACTGGAGTACTTCCTAACAGTAGGAAAGTTAGAGGGGAGGAGAGGCAGAGGGAAATAGAGAGAAAAGATTCTGGACAGTCTGACTTCATGGTATGGACGATCACCTGTATCAGAGTTGACCGACAGTACAGAAGGTTGTGGATGGAACATATATTTGAAAACAATATTTTTGTTTAAATGCTTAATCAAAAAGCTTACAAACTGTACAACTGCTTACAGATTGTATAAGAACATTTCAAAAACTTTCTAGCCACTCATAAAAACAAGAACATCAATAACAAACCTCATGCTTGCCAGCGGAACCACACAAAAAACACAGAGCTCGGACACAGCTAGGGCCAGTCAGTGTCAGGGAAAAGCCATGCGACCAAGCAGTTTCCAAATCATAAGCTTCCTGGAGAAACATAATCATTTTGTTGCATACATATTCTGTTACATATACAACTGAAATATTGCTTTTCTTGTGAAGCCATGACCACACTGGAGTCAGCTCCGTTCATCTACTCATTGAGCAGCCCTTGGGTTATTCTTCAAAGAAGACAAGAATGTTGTTGGACAGCTTAGGAGAAGAAAATGTGCTGGGGGAGGGGAAGGTTGTACGTGCATATGTAGCATTGCACAACATAACCCTTTACCCCTTAAGGTCGTAGGTGCACTGATGGAAGCACTAGCATATAAAACCTGCCATCTGTCTCTGCCTTCTGCTTGATGAATAGGTGTATGATAACTGAGTCCTGTCTACTTCTTGATGTTGTCATTCCAGTTTCTTCTCTGCCTACCCTTTATTGTTCCCTAAAGCAAGTCTTTGCAATCAAATCATGTCTCACCATGTGCTCAAATGAAGCTAGCTTGCAACGTTTCACCACTGACAAGAGAGGCTCCTGGTCTCCTGCAAATTTGTATATTAGGTCTCTGACATATTTATTAGTTTTTTGTTCTAAATAACTAATTTGTTAAATGGTATCTACAGCATTTACATTCAAAAGCCTGAATCCTCCTTTCCATCTCCACAGTGAGAGCCCAACCCTCACGTCCGTATAAGAAAATAGACCATACCAGTGATTTGTAAATACTGACTTACAACTGTGAAGCTGATTTTGCTCTTCCCCATCGTATTCAGTTGGGACAATACAGATGTTGGCATATCAAGTCTAGTCTTGATCTGTTTGCTACAGCTGCCATCGTTACATATGTGGGAGCCAAGATATTCAAAGGTGTGTGTGTGTGTGTGTGTGTGTGGACCCATCTTCACACAAAAAAACAGTTTGCGGCTGGCCCACTGAACTGTGATTTACAGCTAGTCTCTGATATCTGTGCCTTTTGGCCCAAAACAACCAATTTCAGCAAATCTCTAATTAGTCGCCTTTTACAACAAGCTTGTTAGGGAGTCAGTGCGTCTATTCTTTTCCCCCCACCTGGAACCCACACAAAAGCTTCATAATCATTATTTCAGCCCCAGATTTGTCTGATAAAGTCACTGTGACAAGTGAATTGTGGATCAAATAACCGCCATGTGCAGTAGGGACTATGAACAGTTCTGTGGTCAGAAATCAAGCCATTCTGGGTGGATTTCAACAATGGTATTAGCCTGATTTCGACATTGGCCTGAACCTGATTTTGACAATGACATGGGCCTGATTTTGACAAAGACTTAAGCCTTTTTTGACAAAGACATGAGCCTGATTTTGACAAAGACATGAGCCTGATTTTGACAAAGACAAAAGCCTTTTTTGACAAAGACATGAGCCTGATTTTGACAATGACATGGGCCTGATTTTGACAAAGACAAAAGCCTTTTTTGACAATGACATGAGCCTGATTTCAACAAAGACATGAGCCTGATTTTGACAATGACATAAGCTTTTTTTTTTTTTTTTTTACAAAGACATGAGCCTTATTTCAACAATGACATGAGTATGTATCAACAACAACAAGAGTGTGATTACAACAATGACAGAAGACTGATTTCAAACAATGACAGAAACTTGAAAAAATGAAATTCAAACTGTAATATTATACTCCGCAGACATTTACCTCATAGTCTGCACGAATGAAGTGTGTCTTCAGAGGCACATCAAAAGAATAGGCTGTCTCATTCTGCACGGGCTTTAATTCCAACGGCAACTGTTTCTGGGGAACTGATATCTGTAATAGAACAGGCAACATGAGAAGATGATGGAAAGAATTAAATAACTGTACTCTCTGTGTGGGTTATGAGATGAGGCCCCACTGGGGAGGGGGTTAGACTCACTGCCTCTCACCTCCCCCCAACTGACATGTCAAAAAAGGTGACTACTTATGGCAGTTTCCTCAAAGCGAGAGTGCACCTTTCTGAGAGGACATCAGCTCAGTTACTTAGGGTAATGATAGAACCATGGCCAATGGACATGTCTTCAAATAAAAATAAAGAAATAATTTTTTTTAAGATCTGGGCAAACATGATCTGACCAAAAGCAAACACCTGAAAAGTGTTGAGAAAGTAAAAGCAGTCAGCAGCATACTGATCACATTACTCGTTGACTTACCGACATATAAAGTTTTTTTTTTAAAAAGCGCTAAATACCTGTTATGCCTACAGTCTTGGAGAAAGATGTTGAGAATCAAATGTACACACATGCCATGATTGTAACTGACCCACAGAGCATGTTGAGAAAGGTGAAAACAGGCCGGATTCCCGTAGTGGCAAGCATCACTTCAAAGGTCCCGGGTAGTTGCATCCTTTGGATATTTTCTCCAAGTGATGCTGGTGTGGTGGAAAATGAGCAGGCAGATAGACTGACTGGCTCTGCACCACTAGGTGGTGAATTGATGTATGACAAGTTAGAAGCCCACTGTCATGGTTCTTCTGTATTTGTCCATATCTTTTTTTGCAGGTTTCAGCTACATAATTTTTCTCCCTCTTTCTTGGTCTTCCTCTAACCTCCCTCCCAGATGTCCTGCTGTAAAATGTCTCATGTGCAGTTTGGTCTGGCTGCATTTTCACTAGATGACATTTTAGACTAACCCACTAAATGACACGGATTTTGTCCAGTTGGGATTCAGGATAGGATTCACTGGGTTACTGGGACACCTAAATGTCAGATAGCCAGGATTGTGTCAATCAGATAAAGCCATTTATTTTTCAAAACCATGTGGAATGTTGAATTAAGAATCTACATCACAGCACTAAGGACCCTCCCATAAGCACTTCTTCCCCATCTTCAGCAGCAAGCGAAGAGTTCCAATTCCGGTGGCATCGTTAAATGTCTGATAAACTCTGCACGTTTTTAGATTCAGTAACCTAAAATCATACATTAATAAAATAGACAGACCTGAAACTCAATAGCATAATAAATAAAATCACACTAGTATTCGACACAACAGGTAATATAAAAATCAAAAGCTTTCGTTCATCTTCTATTTTCGCCAATCAACTGTGTGATTTTTTTATCTAACATCTTGCAAAGAGAATAATCTGCACTATGACCAGGGTTTCATCTGGTCCAGACCTAACTAAACTTCCCCAAAGTCACCCTAGAAATGAGTTCACTAAGGAGTGGCCTGGCCAACACAGAACTCTAAAACAGTTGTTCATGCAACATTCAAGTCAAGGAACAAGACCAAAGTTTGGATATAGTTTGGATATAAAATGACCAACCAGGACTTTCTGCTGGAGTAGATGGCTAGTGAATGCTAAAAGAACACCTATCATACTTTTCCAATGGCCATCAGGTTTCCCTCAATACAAACTTCACTTAAAAATATTAAAAACTGAACACTAACCTTCTCTCTGTGTTTTAGATGACGCATTTTGCCTACATATGCTTCCGCCATCCTTCCAATGAAAGGGTTTCGGACATCAGCCAAGGCAAACTGAATAGTAGCTTCAACAGCTGTAGAGTACTTTCCCTTGGCATAGCGTACAACTCGGTCCCCATTTGTGTTAGCTACTGTTTTTGACTGACATTGGGAGCCATCCATGTCGAGGCCATTTTGAAGGGAAGATGATAAAGAACTAGTATGCCCGTTTTGGTAGGTGTCCATATTTTCTTCAGCTCCTTCAATAACATCTAGGGGAAAAAGAGCTTCTTTTAGACCAATACATACAAGATGACTGTCATTGTAAAGATATAAATAGCAGAAGAGAAACAAGGTTAGGATAATAGGTTACAAACAAGGTGGTTCAATTTTGATCCTGAATATTGGTACTGCTCAATTTTGTCCAGACCAGTACAACTTTGGGGCCAATTGTCTTCCTCTTCTCAGCCTTTACAATCTGTAAACGCTGGCAGTAAGTTCTGGTTGTGCATCCACAACTGGACTCTGGTCTCATCACAGAACTTGTTTTGCATGCATCTATGTTTTATAGATCTGGCTTACTTGTATGCAGACTGTTGGTTCCTCACCTCTCAGGTAGCTGCACTCCAGCTTCGAAAGCAAACGCTCCTAATAAGTCATCTTTCTCAAAATGCCTGTTGAGAGGCAGTGGGTTTATCTATCTTCCCCCAAAGTGGGGCTCTGGAACCCACATAGGGGCTACTACTTCTTATAGGCCTCTGCTTTGCTGAGTCATAACATTTTGGGCCCCGTCTTCTATAAATATCAGTGATTTACATTTATAGACACTGACAGAAGAAGTGCTGTGTTCTCATAAGCACAGAAGAAAAGGATAAGGTAAGAAAAACAGACCAGGGAAATTAGCACACTACCAAGAAGAAAGGAAAAAGACTAAAACATGGTTTGACAACCTAACTACTTGGGTGCTGAACCAGGCTGTGGATTCAGCAGGATTCGTCATGTGAAACAGCAAGACAATAACAGTAGTTTCTGATCTCAGAGAAAACACTTGGTTAGATTGACAGCTTTGGTAACAGTAAATTGTCCACATGTAAACAGTTCCTGGACCTCAGTTCAGGAAAGAAAAAATGGTGGTGTGTTAACAGAAACACCAGCACTTACAAATCATGTTGTAAAGGGGGACTAATTAAGCATTGGCATAAATGTGTAGATGTTGCAGCTCGGCTGTTAACACAGCATGTTGCACAACGTGTCAACCACCTTTTTAAGGGTGAACATAGCAGCAGCAGAAGAAGAGGAAGAGGTGGAACAGGAAGAGGAAAAGGAGAAGGAGGATGAGGAAGAAGAAGAAGAAGAAATCCCTAAAATAAATGATTGCATGGTAACATAATCATTTTATTATCAAATACACATAGCGATCATCCCCATATGGGGGAAAAACAAGAATAGACCCACTGCCTCCCCAACAAACATTTCATAATTGTGGGGCTTCCTTCGAAGTAGTAGTGCATCTGCCAGAGAGGCAAGGAAACAACAGTCTGCATACAAATAAGCAGGATCTGAAAAACGGATACATATGCAAAACAGCCAAAGTCCAGGAATGGACAAATAACCAGGTCTTTCCGCTGGGGGTTTACAGTCGATTAATGCAAACAACAAACAGCATTCAAGCCGGTATATGCTTGCCTGCGTGCATCAAGCTGAATTGTTTTTAAATGTGTGTGTAGGCATGCATCTTTCAGCATTTTAGGCAAGCAGAAAGAAATTGGTTGCTCTTCTAGAAGAACATTTGTCACAAGCTTATCATGAAGTTAGTTGATGAGAAGTTTTCTGTTTTTGTTTAACAGTGGTTAAAGACTCCATATAAACTGGCTCTCAGGTTCACCCGGTCTAAAATGAACATCAAATAAAGTTGTTAGGAAGTAATGGCTGCCAGCAGGATGCTAACCACATTATCCATTAAGTGCTGATTGCTCTTTACAAGTCTAGCACTATCTACTCAACACAATTTCAGTGAAAAGATCTTTTTTTAACGAGTTTTCACACTTTTTCCTGCAATATTTAAACACAGCACATCATTAATATTACCTTCACTGTCGTCTTTGGCTCCATTTCCATTTCCCTCCACTCTCCAGTGATTGTTAGCTCTCTTCTCCTGGTACCTTGAGGACGAATCCCGGAAGCCAGCCCTAGAATTGTGACTCCTTGTGTGGTGATCTCCATTCTGATCATCATCATCCCTTCGGTAGGTTTTGGTTGGACTTTTTGGTTCAATAAATGCTTGTGTGGCTTTCCTTGGGATTTTGGGTGCAAGGCAAACTGAATGTCTGCAGAACAGAAATGTCAAATAAAATAGAACAGATTTCAAAAGCAATACATCCATCAAAACAATACCAGACGTTTCAAGCTAGCATTTTATATTTTATTTATGAATAATGATACAAATCTACATGTGTGACAGTGTGTACAAAGTAATTTATCCACAACTCAGTGAATTTACCAGCTGTAATGTTGAGTCAAGAATTGACATCACAGCACTCGGGGTATTTCCAATGCATGCTCCGTCCTTATCTTCAGCAGCCAGCGCAGAGTTCCAATACTGACGGTACCGGTCACAATCTGGTTATATGTCCGTCTTGCTTTTCTGCTGAGTGTAGTGAGCCGGCCAGACCCTCTGGTTACAGGTGCCCTTTTTCTCTCCAGGTCATAATAATCTTCTTTCTGTACTGATTCTGTTGCTTGTTCCTAAAAGGCCTGTATCAATTCACCACCCAGTGGTGCAGATCCAGCCAATCTGTCTGCCCGTTCATTACCCACCAGGCCTTTATGGCCCAGAGAAAAGATCCAAAGTTTCCTCACTACCCATGACCTTCCCAGTGTTAACCAGTTGTACTGATCACTGTAAAGCTCACCAGCTGTACTAATATGACTTTACAGAGCTGCAGTAAGGCAGTGCTAGATGCTTGGCAGGCAGGCAGGCAGGTCGTGAGTTCCAATCTTTAATAGAAAGATTTTCAGAATGAACCCAAGACTCCCCATGTCTACTGCTGCTGTGCCACTTTCGGAGCATACATCAGGTTCATTAGACCACCATATTACTGAATAGATTCAACAGATCTAGTGAAAAGATAAAAAAAAAACTATTAAATCATTTATTTACCTGTCCCGTGGAAGTCAAGATACACGGAGAAGACCGACTGCCTGTGCAGTTTTTCCATACGTCAACTAACATGATCCAGTGAATTTCTAGATGTGATTATCTGCTAATCTTGAGCAACAAACTAGTTAATGCTTATTTTTCTTCCTCCAGATACCTCAGCGAGGTATTATTAGCCCACACACGTCAAACTAAATGTCCCCCATGGACCGGATTGGTCACATTTATCCTGTAAGGGGGGGGGGGTGTCCCACATGTGCCTGTAATAGACACATTCTTGTCATATTGCCAAACAATCTCACCAGATAATTACATCTGAAAAGGTCAAGGGTAGAGGGGGAAAATGCTTTTACCATTCTTTAAACAGCAGGTTAGAAAAGAGCAACAACTAAACATCCCATTAAAACACATTACTGAATCCTAAAAATATTACACATAGTAAAAGAATGTCAATTGTTCAAATACTTACATGCAACACTTTTTGATCCTTCCTGGCCCACCAAACTTGGGCTTGTCACTGAAAGCAAAGCAACATTTTATTAATGCAGTTATACAACTGCATAACACAACTTTTCTGTCAGGGGCAAAATTAAACATCCTAACCTGTACAGTGTGTGGCAAGAGAACTAGCCAGGTAGCCCTAAATCCCCAGGTTCACGACCCCCTGTCTACACCGTTCTTAAAAGTGGTATCTACAGATAGTAGTGACAGTTTATACAATTATACAAAGCATTTTATTATTGCATAGTTAAATTCATAACCAATCATAGCAACATTTTCCAATACAGTTACCATAAACTGTGGTGAACTAGTCAACCTTGGGAACAAGACCTCAAGATTTATAGCTCAAAATTATAAGTCGTGTCTCATCTGTTGATGTTAATATTGTGACTGTCTTAACTGTTGACGTTAATAGTGTGACTTTCTCATCTGTTGACGTTAATAGTGTGACTTTCTCATCTGTTGATGTTAATATTGTGACTGTCTTAACTGTTGATGTTAATATTGTGACTGTCTTAAATGTTGATGTTAATATTGTGACTGTCTTAACTGTTGATGTTAATATTGTGGCTGTCTCATCTTCTGATGACATCAATGTGACTGTCTCAGCTGCTGATGCCATCACTTTGACTGTCTCATCTGTTGATGTGAACATGTGTCTCATCTGCTGATGTCAACAAATGGAGCACATATGGTAATGTCCTGAGCGCTGTGACGTCACTCTTTGATTCAGCTCAATTTAAATGACAGAGATGAGTCACTTCTCCAGGTGAAGTAATGAGGTAGATCAACTTGTAATGTTATGTTATCACAACACAATCGATGTCACTGCACAATAGACATTCCCCTGGGTGCTCAGTCTTCCGATGCAGCAGCCACTCCAAGGTACTCCTACTAATTGTTCCCATGAGAAGTTGGTTATAATGTCTCCTATCTCTGCCTCGAAGGCAGCATAGACGTGCTACACCATGCTTTACTTCCATGTGGATTAACTCTTCAAGTTAGGTCAGCAACTGATGGGATGATTCACTACTTTTCTAGAAGTAATGTGTAAGTATCAGTGATTCCCAAACTGTGCGCTGCAGCGCCCTGGGGAGCCGTGACCTCTTCACATGGGCGCCGTAAAATATTCGAAGATACACAGGTTTTATTTTGTCCAATCTCTTACATACAAATAGTTATAATTTTACTTAGATTAGGGCGCCGAGGAAAACTTTTAATTGAAAAAAGGCGCCGGGATTAAGAAAAGTTTGGCAAACACTGTGTTATATCAATTCTCACTAAGGTCAGCAATAGACCTATCCTTCCAATTAAGTGAATGCTGGATTAACTTACTTACCGGCAAAACACGCACACACCACATTCTGGAGTTTTGCAGCCCTTGCATTCACGGCAACGAATTTTCCTGGTGTATCCTTTCTTTCTGGCTGCCAATGTTTTCTCAATTGATATACTACAAGAATACAAAATAAAAGATCACTTCTGGATTATTTTGTATATTACTGAATATGTAAAAACTGTAATATAAGTAAACAAAACAAAAAAACTTAACACTACCAGAGTTTTCTATTTTTGTTTAACAGTGGTCTGGAGTTCAGAATTGTGTACATATATGTATGTATATATATATATATATATATATATATATATATATATATATATATATATATGTGTGTGTGTGTGTATGTGTGTATCTGTGTGTGCGCATCTTTCAGCATTTTAAGGAAACAGAAAGAAATTTGTTGCCCTTCTACGAGAACATTTGTCACAAACTAATTATGAAATTAGTTAATTAGAAGCTGTATGTTTTTGTTTAACAGTGGTTACAGTGCCCATATATATATATATATACATACATACACATATTTATATATATATTGGGAGAGAGAGAGAGAGAGAGAGAGAGAGAGAGAGAGAGAGAGAGAGAGAGAGAGAGAGAGAGAGAGAGAGAGAGAGAGAGAGAGAGAGAGAGAGAGAGAGAGAGAGAGAGAGAGAGAGAAGGTGGGGGTGGGGGGCGTGACTGCTTTGGACGTCGGTGAAGAGTATTATGAGTGCAGACAGCTGAAGATGAAGAACTAGGAGAAACACTTTTCTTCTATGCTGTGCAGCCACCAGTTAATAAACATTTACAGCTTACCAATAACTGTTTTCATTATTCCACACGCTTTTTTTTTTAAGTTGCATGCTAATTTGCATGTTCTTTGACTTCCAAAGAAGTAAAAAAAAAATTTTTTTTTTTTTTTAAACCAATGTTTCTGAAAGGAAATGACCAAACAAGGTATTGACACAAAAACATACCTTTTCTTCTTCACTTTACTGGCAACATCTGTCCCTGCCATCCTTGCCTCTGAGATCCTATTTTTTGGCATCTTGCCTTCTCTCAAATCATCTACCTTCTCATCTCTGGTTAAACCTAGCTTCTTGTTGAAGTTTGAGCCTATCTTTCTTTCTTTCTTTGTATCTGCTTGCTCTTCTTTGGGTGACTGCAATTTTCTGTCAGGAGAGGCTAGTGCAGGGATTTTATTCTGTTTTGTTTCATCATTGCTCTCGTCGGTTGAAGAATCTGAAATGATCAAATACAATATCCCTACTGCTTAAAAATTGAAGGAAAAACCAGCCTAATAAAGTAATTAATTATTTTTTTTAAAGAAAAAAATATTTTGAAAAATATATCTAACAAAACTAACCCCCCCCCCCCCCCCCCCCCCTTAAGTAGGTTCTGGGGTCTTTTGGGGTGATGGCGGAGATTTATTTTAAACCCATTGCGACTAAAAAGCATGTCGTAAAAAGTTACTAATAAGGAGTTTGCTAAAATTGGATCTAATCGAGCGGAGAGCTCCCACAAAAAAATATCACTCTAGCCATAAAGATTCTCAAAGAAAAAGATATTTTAAAAACGCCCCGCCAGTCGTGTGCTACAGGCCACGCATTGGAAAACCTCAAAGATAACATGGAAAGGGAGATGAACTACCTGCTCAACAAACTCTCAGAGATAAACCCAACTGCCTGCTCAACAAACTCTCAGAGATAAACCCAGCTGCCTGCTCAACAAATTCTCATAGATAAACACAGCTGCCTGCTCAACAAATTCTCAGAGATAAACCCAGCTGCCTGCTCAACAAACTCTCAGAGATAAACCCAGCTGCCTGCTCAACAAACTCTCAGAGATAAACCCAGCTGCCTGCTCAACAAACTCTCAGAGATAAACCCAGCTACCTGCTCAACATACTCTCAGAGATAAACACAGCTGCCTGCTCAACAAACTCTCAGAGATAAACCAAACTGCCTGCTCAACATACTCTCAGAGATAAACCCAGCTACCTGCTCAACAAACTCTCAGAGATAAACACAGCTGCCTGCTCAACAAACTCTCAGAGATAAACCAAACTGCCTGCTCAACATACTCTCAGAGATAAACCAAACTGAAAGCTCAACAAACTCTCATAGATAAACTCAACTGCCTGCTCAACATACTCTCAGAGATAAACCCAGCTACCTGCTCAACAAACTCTCAGAGATGAACCAAGCTGTGCCACAGTTGGTCCCAGCCTGATGCTGCACAGGAGACAATGAGATAGGACATAAACTGGGCAAAGAGGACACTCAGGTAAAACAGGACCTCCATCCCATATCCAAGATAAAGGATAAGTACGGAATCTCATGGAGAAAAAGGCACAAACAGTAAACATCCTGATGACCCACACAACCGGCTAAACAGCAAGCTGCATTAATATTCCCACTAAGAGCAGGACACTGCTGACTTAACTCACATATGCCCAAAATGAAGGCAGCACGGTCCACCCAGTGACCCTGCCAAACCGCACTCTAAAAACCTCAGCCCATACTGCAGAACTGCCCCCAAACAGGAAAACCTATAAGAAAACACATGGCCAGATGGAAGAGGCAGCCAGGACAAATTTGGGAACCCTTGGCGACTTGCTGCCGGTCCATGAAGGCAATACAACTGCTAATCTGTGCATATATTCTTTTTTGTTTATCCGATGATGTAAATGCGGTGTACCTGTTTACAACATAGCTGCAATATTTTCACCTTTTGGACGACACAGCCAACTTCTGCAGGCATCTGTTGCCCAGGTCAGCCTTCATGGAGGGCAAAACAACTGATGATAATGGGTATATGAAAGTGATCATAAAGAAGAAAAGCATGTCTTGAACAGAAAGATGTAAACCACAACACAAAGTCTGGACCAACATTTTAAGGGGGAATGAGGAAGAAGAGTTCTTTACACAGAAAGAGCTAATGAGAGTAGGAATTTGAAAAAAAAAAATAATAATAATTTAGAGACAAAATCTTACTCCACAAAAGTTTACTTTGTAAAATTAGCCAATTTACAACATTAAAATAATTTCATAACTGTAAAAAAAAAAAAAAAAAAGCACTCGAGCCGGACACCATGCCTTGAGACCACGCAGCCCCCTGAAAAGTACTTTATACAAAGTGAACAGAAGGGCCTGTTCCAGAAATCTCTTCATGCACTGACCATGCGAGGCATTCCAGGAGTAGAGAAAGAAGAAGATAGATGAAAAACACAAGTAAAGGACCCATCTAGCACCAGCTTCCTATATGATTTCACCTGGTACCCATTTTAGGCTGAAGGATGGAAAGATAAATATAAATTATGTGTACCCATCAGCATTGTATAATAAACTGACAAGGAAGATAATGTTATACAAGTGGTGATGAGCAAGAGCAAGATGAAACAGCCAGAAGAGATAAAGATTTAGAAGAAGACAACCAAAAAAAAAAAAAAAAAGAAATCTAAAGAAAATCTGTTTTGTCAGTGCTTCACATAAATAGAATGTTTGGGAAAATGCTGCTTACACCTGTAAGAGTGAGACAGGAAGAGAAGAGGTGGAAAGAAAAAAGAGTGAGAAGGGATTACATTCTACATGCACTGCAAATAAAATACTTTGATTTATCATTCATTAGATCATGTAAATTTGTAATTTGTACCTGAATTTTAAATAAAAATAAAAGTTTCCAAAAAATTCATATAAATAATTACTGCCTCAGATATATCAAACAGAAGAAAGCGAAATAAAACTGTTGGGGCACATTAAAAAAAAGCTGTGCATACAAATGAGCTAAACGGGAGTACACCATGAGACAGACCAAGAACACAATGAAGATATACAGGCAGGCAGGAATTTAAACTCGGGGAATCAGAAACTGGAAAGAGGAAGCCAATGAGAAAGATGAATAAAGGCAGATGATATCTGCAGCAATGAACCTCAAGGGCTCCAAATGCAGAAGAAGAGGAAGAAAAATATGAAATTCACCGCCCTCAGTACTAACCTTGTGTTTGCTCCTGCTTGTTTTTGGCCCACAGCTGTCTCTTCTCCTCATTAGGCAGAGCACTCAGTGTTAAAGTTCTCTTCTGGGGCTCCTCTGGAAATGTGGCCCTTTGCTGAGGAAAGACCATCGCAGCACGGCGGCACACATGCTTGATTCTGGGCCCTCGAACACTCCCCCTTGATCTACCTACTATGTCACCATCTTCATCAGCTTCAGACACTTTGTCACCATCACTGGCGGTCAGACCTAATTTCTTGGAAGGAGACCTCAAACCTTTATCTGGTGTTGACTTGGAGCTTGAGAGGGTCTGTGGTGGCGAAAGGCCTGGAGACAATACAAGAACAAGCCAAACTGTACAAAGAAAAAACATCACCCATTTTGAGTCACTGCAACCTCTACCAGCAAACTAGCACTTTTACAATAAGGAATATAGGCTGCTTTAATAGGCAACCTAGCAACTTGAGGATAACAGCATGAAACAAAATACATAAATAAATACAAGCTCAACTGTCATAATTTTTGTCTTTATACACAGGGCTCACGGTCAATTCCTCAATTATGTTGTTGCCTGTGCAATCACTTCAATACAGATCAAATTCAGCACCCCTGGCTTATCTCATCCATGTGAACAATTACTGGCTCTACAAAATGAGTAGGAATAAACTCACAGGGAGCAAGTACAGCAGGGATCTACCAGTCGTCAGTAGAAATTATCCTCGTCGACACGCGTTTCGGCCCACGATTCCTAGACGCATTCGGAGGTGGGCCCACCTGAGTTCATGAAGCTCAGGGCTGGTTCCCTGCTGCACGGAATTACCGGATGGTGTTATACTTTCGGCCAGAGACAAGACGACTTGGTGGTTTCGAAGGAGGTACTGTGAGATAAGAAGCCGCCACGGCAGCTTAATTAGAACAGTCAGCGTGCCTGGACGACCGAGCGACAAGCTTACTTTGGTTTACCGGACACATGTTGGACTTTTATTAGCAGTTGGCAGAGGAACACTGGCAGACAATTCGGACACGATGGACTTTCAAAGGGATGAGAAACTCTTTTCCACTAGATACCCGGACCAGCTCACCGAGGCCCGTCCCCTACGTTGTTGCGCTGCGTCCAAAGCCAGCCAGAGGCCCTTTCGGCTGCCTCTCCCAGTTTTTTGAGTGTTCGTTTCCGTTCATTACCGCGCAATCCTAGTTCTTTCACCACATTGTAGAGCGAAGTGGAAACGAGGCCTCTCGCTCCCACTTCGACGGCAAAAACCCGTACTGTGTAAGCCTCGTTTATCCTCAAACCGGCTGCTAAATCACTGTACTTCTCGAGCTTGTACAAATGATTCTTCTCCATACGCGACTCAAACGGGACAGTCAACTCAATCAGGATGAGCTGCCGTTTTTGTGCAGAATGGAGAACGATGTCCGGTCGCAGGCCGGTTTTACGGATCAACTCGGGGTACCGTTCATGGCCTGGCAGATCAACCGCCAGTAACCAGTCCCTCGCAGAGTCTAGCACAGATGGAGCGAATGCGTTTTGGTTGACCTTACCTTTTGGCACCTGCCCAGCCTTGAGGAAACGAATGGGGACGATACTAGAACTGGCTCTGGCATTAGCCCTCATTCTAGCCTGGTCGACAACGGCTGCTAACTCTTTTAGCACCTTGTTGTGGCGCCAGGTATATCGGCCTTGACCTAGAGCTTTCCTGCACGCGGACAGGACGTGCTCAAGAGTTTGCTTTGATTTGCACAACGGGCAAGTCGGATCGTTGGTCGCAGACCACTTAACCATATTAACTCCGGACGGTAATACATCGTACGCCGAACGAACGATAAAGCTCAGTCGCAGCGGGGTCATCCGCCAGAACTCACCCCATGTGAGTACTCTTGGCAATGCGCTCTCCAGGCTGACCCAATGGCCCTGCTGCGACTGTTGGGCTGCTTTCTGGACCCGAACCTCGTTTTCGTTGTCCCTCACCGTTTGTATTACCATGTCTCGGCGTTCCTTGGCAGAGGCCTTCGACCACCAATTGACCTTCCCGTGCCCTAGGCCTCGACGGTCGGTTTGTGTGTAACCCATTATCTCCTTCAACTTTAGTGCATTCTGGGCAGATTCTATCGCATCGAGGACCCTCCATTTGGTACCAGTCTTTAGAGCGGGCTGGACAGCGATGACATTTGGGTCTGAAGACTCGCGCAGAAGCATGGCGAGCCTTACTTTGCCGACTTTAAACTCTTCGGTTATCGACTTGAACGGAAGTACCAGCTTAGCCTGTTTACAATACAGAGCCACGTCGGTCAGACAAGGCGGTGCACAAATCCACTTTCTCAAGGCTGTGTTGATTTTCTTTTCCATGGCTTCCACTGCTGTCATCGTCACCTCGTAGACTGACAGTGGCCATAGGAGTTTCGGAATCAACATGAATTGGAGACACCATACCTTGAATTTCCCGACCAGCCTGCATCGCTCGATCGCAAGCAGGCCTGTAGCCAGTGACTCATGTATTCGCCGGACCTCCGCTCTATCGGATAACTTCGAATCGTAAACGCGACCGAGACTCTTCACCGGTTCCTCCAGAACCGTAGGGATCTTGTTCCTTGCCACCGTAAAACTGGTCGCCGACACCCTGCCCTTATGGATTGACAGACTCCTGCATACCGCTCCATTGGACCACCGCGTCCAATCTTTTCAGGATCGTGCAGGCAGACTCCTCGCTGCCCGTTATTATAGCCGTGTCATCCATAAATGCGCGTAGTGGCGGCAACCAGTGATCCCCAATTTGAAGGCCCAGTCCGTAGCCGGCCGCCCCGTCTAACATGATCTGCATTGCCATGACAAACAGTATAGGTGAGATCGTACAGCCCATAGCTATCCCAATCTGCAACTCAGTCCACCTCGTCGTAAACGTCAAGGTAGAGAAGTGCAAAGCGAACTTGGAGAAATATTGCTCGATCATTTGACTGATCTGTGTCGGTACGTGAAACATGCGAAGGGCTCGCCACAGTAGCCTATGGGGGACTGCCCCGTAGGCGTTGGCTAAGTCCAACCATATAACGTGCAAATCAGTTCTCTCATGCTTGGCTCTCTGGATAGCCTCCCAAATCATGGTCGCGTGTTCAAGGCACCCAAGAACGCCTGGGATACCACCCTTCTGAACACTCGTATCTATGTACTTGTTAGTCATCAGATACTGTGTGAGCCGGCGAGCCATGACTGAGAAGAATATCTTACCCTCGACATTCAACAGCGAGATGGGCCTGAATTGGGAAAGACTCTTCGAGTCCTGCTCTTTGGGAATGTAGACCCCATTTGTCTTTGACCACTCTGGACATATGTGATTGCGGATCCACGCTTGTCTCAACAAGACGTGAAGCATTTTAAGGATTTTCGGGCAACGCTTGTAAAGAACGCACGGGACACCGTTGCTGCATTTTTAATTTTACACAATTTAACATTTATAATTACAAGTTCCGCTTTGACCGCAGTGACAAACACCGATGGAAAACCTAAATGTGCAAATGCAGTATTTTTGTGTGGTTTATTAGCTAGCTGTGTGTTGTATTTTCACTGTGGAAATCTTGTTTGATGCTGCGTGTGAGTGATTTATAATGAGTACAAAAATAAATATTCCCACCAGCAGTCAGGTTCGTGCTGTGATCTATTTTTGTTAGCAATAAAACAACACTGCTGCAGAAATTCACAGGCAATTTGGCTGCAATGAATCGTTTTTATATATGATGGATTTTTTATTTCATACTGCGACTTATTTAAAAAATGCACCCTATACATAAAGTAGGGTAAAATGCTAGCTTGTTGGAAATATGCAGTGAACGTCTTTACACGTTTATGAAAGAAATATTAGAGTTAATGGTAAACAGAATACACTTATAATTGAACATTTTTGTTAAAAATTCACGAAACAACAACAGAATGTAACAACAACTAAAATTTACTTGAAAATCAAAATTTAAAATGATAAAATATTAGGAAGAAAAAAATGGCAGATACCAGAGAGACAAAAACTGCGTACACAAAAAAAATGACCATGAGGCAGACCAAGAAACCAGTGGCAAGATAACATATAGGCACCTGGGGTCAACAACTGGAAACAGAAGGTTAATCACCGAACAAACTTTATTTTCAAGGGGTCATAAACTGGCCACGCAGGCCTGTCTTACATTCAGCCCTTCCAAACACCCATATTTCACACAGCAGTTGTATTTTATCAAAAAAGCATGTTATGTTCATATAATAACAAGCATATTGATTATGAATATCACACAAAAAACACAACAGCATGGGTGGAAAAATGCATGCACACACACCAACTCACCCACACACACCCACAGGCCGACACACACACACACACACACACACACACTCACAGACAAAGACACCCACACACAAAATTACCCATACACATGCTCATAAAAGTGCATGCACAGAAGCATACATATACAAACTTGCCTACACATCACATATACACCTTATGCAATTATAAACTGATAATACAATATGGATTGCAGAGATGAATGGAGGTGGGCGTTAGCTGCAGCAATGGACCCCAAGGGCCCAGAATGCTAAGGAAGTACTAAAGCACATTTACCTCCAACAATATATGGTGTATCTGGCCCCATGAAAGCTGTATACCTATGACTTTGTTTTTATTATTGCCTCAATGAGACTTTAACTATGATATGGGACACTTAAACAGCTAAATTGTTTATTCAACGGAACAACTTCATGGTACACAGGTGTAACCCATAGGTACTCCGTTCTACTTTTAACTCAAGCCTGAGTCTGAAGAATCGCAGCGTAGTGCACCAACTCCGTTGCACCTGCTAGAATCCTGAAATAGTTTAGGATAGACTTTTAAGCTCTAAATTTTGCCCAGGCAGCGATGTTAGACTACTCTTTTTTCGATTTTCAACTGCCAAGGGATTCGTTTTTACATGTGCAACAATACACACAGGAGTCCGGTCTCACTACCCAGAGACCGGGGGAAATTACTAGAAGTCCATGTAAAAAAAAAATTCCAGCCTTCACCATTTAGCAAACAGCTAAAATAAAAGACAAGGAAGAGAGGCATAGAAGGAAGAAGATGACAAGGAAGAGCAGAGGAGGAAAAGAAAAAGACGGCAACCATTAGGCCACTGCGCTTGACACAGAAGTCACGCCTCTTTAAATGTTTGAGCAAGCAATACGTACTAAACGGATCTGTATCCTGGTCAACATCGACTGACAATGGCTTGTCCAGATTACTGGCACTGATTAGCTCACTGCTATGGTTGGATGTCCTGCCTGGTGTTCTCAGGCCTGGTTCCACCATCCTGTCTCCACTTCTGCTCGTCTGCCGCTGCCTTGCTGGGGCCGCCACATCAAATTCTTCTTGTGTCTGCTTGTTCTGTAAGGTCTCGAGAGTCGCCTCCTCTTCCTCACTCTTGTGCCTCTGTCTACTGGCTGGGGTATACAGCTCCTCCTGGTGGTGGAAATGCAGGAAATATGAGTGAATTAAATAAAGAGTGAGATGGAGGAAACTGTGAGGTTGCTGGTCTGCATCTACACTTTCATCTATGACACGCCGACTAGAATTAGTCATTTATCATGTGTGACCGCACTTATATACTAGATTCACAAACACATTTCAACCCCTTGGCCCCACAATGCCCCAAATCCATTGCAAACCCCTGTAAAAGTTGCTATATTAAAACCGTAGCATCACTGGTTTGTCCCCAAGAAACATAAATAATAGCACTAGTTCTGTTTACCAGGATGGGCTGTCCTGGGAAAGTAAAGACAGTCGGCATAATGCTGACCACATTACCCACAGAGTGCTGATGGTCTGTAAAAACATGGGACGCTCTGCCCATATGCCCAATGCGCCGAAAGGCGTGAAAAGGGGTCTTTACTTTTTTTTTTAACTAGTTCTGTTTGCGCCACCTGTGCAATGTTTATGGGTCCCAGAATATTGTTATATTTACTAAAAATAGCATCTGCTATGGCTACATATTTTACCTTTACTTAGCAGTCATGTAGCGATAAGGGCACCTTTGAGTTACTGTATACTTTTTTTGAGGCACAAGGAACTGTAATCTACTTAATTCTCTGATCCGTTCATGGTTCATTTTGTGCCTGTACAGTGTTTAGCAGGGTCAGGTATATTTACAAATAGAATAGCATAGTGGGGGTGGGGTGGGGGTGTGTGCGTGTCCACTCGCGCGCTATTGTGAAATATATTATTTTTTGTATTCCTGACATCATAACTGTATATGGCTCTGAAACATGGAGCTTAAAAGCTAAGCTGGACAAGAAGATTCAAGCATTGGAGATGCAATCTTTAAGAAAATTTTTGGCATAACATACAGAGACCACATCACAAACAACGAGGTTCACTGTATAATTATCCAGCACATTGGCAACAATGAACCTCTCTTAATGACAGTGAAAAGGCGGAAAATGCAATGGTACAGACATGTAATAAGATCTTACAACTTCTCAAAAACAATACTACAGTGCTCGGTAGAGGGGAAGCAGAGAAGAGGGAGAATAAGAAAGACTTGGTTACAGAATCTGACTGGCTGGGCAGGCTTTAGGCATGCAGTCATGAAATCCATCGCATCCGACCATCAAAGGTGGAGGAAGCTGATCAGATGGTCAACAGCAACTGGTGACCCGACGACACAAAGTTATCATCATCATCTACTTTTTGTCTTAGAGGTTGTATAGAGATGGGTGGGGATGGGGCTGGGGTAGTGTGTGTGTGAGACGGTATAAGTCACCTTACAAAATGTTTAAGACCTAGGAATTGTATTCCACATAATTATCTATTCCAGTCACGTTTATTGATTACTTCACTACATATATTTTCTAATCAAATGTATACACATTTTTTTTAACTCAGTGACCTGTGTAAAATTGTGTTATGGACTTTTTTGAGAATTCAGGGGGGTTTTCCCCAAGGATTTCTGGGATGGAAGGGTTAATCCACGAGGAGATTAAGACAATAAAAATATAAAAAATAATTATCGCAAAAGGTGACTGGATACCCACATCAAACGTTCTTCCCAAAACTCGTTTTATTACCTCTCTAGACCGGAACAGTATATAATCATATTCAGATTAACTACAGGCCATAAGAGCATAATTTCTGTCAGTGCAGGAAACATATGTCCCTGCAAATGCTATGCCTGTATCAACACTGTAAATTGCATGATGCACATAGAGAAGCAAGACGACAGGTTGGTTACAGTGTAATTACGAAGCATACATGAACAGTGTCAATACTGCAGCTGAATTATGATCAGACACACTCACACACATATAAAATGCTTAGCAATAACCAAAGAATTTAAAGATGTAACAAATCACGATATCAATTAGACTACTTACAGTAAATGTTTGCCTTCTCTGCTCTCTCAGCATCTTATAAGACCCCACTCCTAGCTCCTTACATTTTCTCATAACTGCGTCAAATTTTCTGAATTTGCATGATGGGCAATGAAGAATCGATTTTTCCGAGAAGTGAATGTTGCACCTTCCTGAAACACACACAAAAAAAGCAAAATATTCAGCAAGAAATAACCACAGAAATCAAACATCTGAGTCGATACTAACATGTAGTCTTTGAACCATGTCACATTGAGTGTGTGGTGGAATGATATTCCTGTATTCAATCAATCAGGTGTCATCTTTTCTGTGAAAACAGGCTATAATGGATCGGAAACACTCTGACTCTTGTCTTGGTTATATTGTCTCCCAGATATCTGTTCCTCCATCACTTGATGCTGTTGTCCCGCATGTACTGTTGTCTACCCTTTGCTCTCTTACATTCAAATTTTCTCTCCACTATAGTTTTAAAAGAGTAAAAGGAAAAGACTTTCTGGCAAGCTTTGAAGTAGAAGGTCTAACTGCCAGGCCTGTAGGTTACTGGGAATATGGTGCTTGCTCCATATTCTTCAGTAGACAAACTGACACTTGCTGGGGGTAGCGGTTCATTATCAGGCAGACTCAATTTACTTCCCATTACATTGAGAATCTACAGGACCTGAAGTAAATGGTGCAATGGAGTTCAGAGAGACGACGATAAGTGGACATTCAAACAGACTAATAATGGTATTATTCAGAAAATGGCGCGATTCCTGTCGTGCAGTGTTGTGGTGCCCGTATGTGATTAAAATTGATCGTGTGGGCAACTGCTGATCTGTTGGCGACTTCTGCTACCATCAATGATGCACTGCAATTCTAATACTGTGATAAACATTCTGCGTGTTTTTCGTTGGCACATGAGCGGAGCAAAGATGGGGTGACCCGTTTGCTATGAAGCTGAAACTAAGACTACCAGAATGGTATTATATGACGTTGCACTCTGCACTGACTGAGTTAATAATAATAAACATGCAGATTTACAAACATGTGAAGCCACAAACCGGAAAAAGAAAACCAATCAAAGAGATGGATGGAGGCGGGTAATATCTGCAGCAACAGACCTCAAGGGCTTGGTATATTAATGAAGAAATTATACCTACGGCTAGCACTATACTGAGCTCACCAAGAGCAGATAGCTCTCTAGAAACATGGTCCTGGAGCCACTCGTCTGATGCAGCAATGGCGTGACAAGGGACCTTTAACTGTTATTTTATATATTCAAGCCATCCTAACAGGAAAGATGCTCACCACACAGTCACAAGGCTTGCATTAGACCCAAAGGTCGTAGGTTAAATTCTGCAGTCAGGTATTTCTCAAAAACAATTACTTTGGTCCCGAGGTCAACCCAGCCTGAAATGGTACTGGGTAATGTGTTGGGATGTAAAGGTGTGATGTTGACCACATCATCCAATGAGTGCTGATCAGTCTATAAACCCAACAGGTGTGCAAGGAAATGAGCAAGCTGATGGGCTTGCAAGGTAAAGCTACTGTGGCGAGGGAACGTACCACGGACCACGCTGATATACAGAATGCTCTACGAGAAGTCTGATGTTTGCGAGAAACAAAGTGATGACTGAATCTGCAACCATGACAAGACTACAAGAACAGCATCTTAAAAGAGGTGGGACCAGATAAGAGCCCTATGCAGGAAGCCAAAGAAGAATAAGAAACCAACACAGGATTGGTGTTGTCAGCCACTACACACTGCATGATTTACTGAGGAGAGGATCTGAGCACTTATGGACTGAATGGTTTGAGGTGCAGCGAGGATAACCTGCTGACTAATAAACATAACCAATATGTTTAAGGGGGGATGGGGGAGGGGGGGGTGGAAACTGGTCCTTTTACACTCAAATAGACAACTCATAAGACCAAAGAAAGAAAATCTATCCCACTGGGGTCATCTTACAAGTTATAATGATAAGGGAAAAGGAAAGGGTGAAAAATCCAGCAGCAACATATCAAAGAGATATATAACATCATAGTGTACCATGCCCTTAAGCACAGTCGACAATGTCTCACCATTCCATCCTATCACCAGAATCACATCAGATCAGTGTTCTTATCCCATTTCATCCATGTGACCAAACCATCAAGGCATTTATTTCTTTGTCTTCCCTTGGCTCTTTATCTCTTTCTCCATCAAGTTTGCTATTTTCAACTAGGGAACCAGACTGCCTTCTAGGTGAAGCTGATGTTTACCTCAAATCATTATTTATCATGGCATCTTGAAGGTGGTTTGATTTCATTGTATATACAATATTATTCTTATACTGTACACATCAAACAAGCTAAGTTTACGAGATGACGACGTTCACAATTTCCCATACCTCCATACTTGCACTTTCTCTTTAATGACCCCGGCTTCAGGGTCACTTGGAAAAAATAAGCTGCCTTACACCTCTTGCACAACGGGACCTGAGGCAGCTTGCGGTTCTTCTTGATAACACACATGCTGGAGCACACAAGACAGTGCCATCTGGATCCTGGTGCATACGTTTTCAGCAGAGCATCATGTTTGATCAGTGATGCCTGATAGTTGTCAAATTTCTCGTTCTTTGGCTTCAGAGTCTGTAAGGAACTGGGTGTCACTGGTGGACTTCCTGTGAAAGCATACAAAAAAAGCTGCTTGTTTCTATACTGACCTTCAACATATCAAAGCATCTAAACCTGAAGTTTCAGCATATGACAGATCTGAGACTACCCCACACACACTCTCTCTCTCTCTCTTACACATACACAGTCATAAAGATAGTCTTCTATTAATACAGGAGGTTATGTTTCTAGGAAGAATGTTGTAGTAAGAAATGAGTTGTTTTTTTCCTGTTATTTCCCCCCATCTTGAGAGCTTCGAAGTTTCATAGGGAGTTCCCAGGAAAGTCCAATTTGGAGAGTGGGGGGTGGATGGGTGTTAGGGTTAGTGTTAGACAGTGTTTGTTCACACCCTAACACCCCTAGACCTTCCTAGGAATTCCCCACGAAATCTCAGAGTCCCCATTTTACACAATTAAAAAATAAATGGACGAAGATGGTATACACTATCCCCTTTATCTTAGAGTAGCCAATGAGACTTCTAGCCTCTTAATCACTTTTAGCAGTGAGAAAAACTGGCAGATGCTCACTATCCACCAGTTGATCTCTGACCATCATATGTATATAAAATGATTATCTGGGACTAAATTGGCAATCTTTAGAGACTTGCTGCATAAGAACATATAACTTCTTTGGAGAATTCAAACAAAACATTTTAAGGGAATTTCATGGGTGAAAACAAATAAATTGTTGAGCACTCCACAACTTGCTAAACTTTTCTTGGTTACTCTAAATGTGAAAAGCATTTATTGTTAATAAATTCTTATAAAACTGTTACTTTAACTATCCCACATTAGTATTACTTTAACTCATAGAGACTCAAAGACTGTTATTCTAAAGTACACACAGTTAAAAAAAAATTTTTTTTTAACGCAGGGTACATCTCTTAGTGTGCCCCAATTATAACTCCTCTAGAGACTGAACAGGATATAGGGGATCTGCTTTGTTGGTTGCCAGACGGGGTGTGATTCTTGTGACCTCACAGGTGGTTAAACCTTTAGGGGGGGGGGGACAGGGGGAGAGACAAAGAAAAAACGCCATACCTGTCTGGAACCAAAACTCTTATAATCTGTTCAAATTTATGAACATGCTAGCAATATATTTTCTCTAAAAGTACCTGTTGGATCACACATTTTTTTTTTTGCATGCTGCTTTGAATATGACACAGAAACAGTGCTATTGTTTAGTCCACAGATAGATGCTCAGGATTTGACAATCAGCCAATTCCTTTTATCTTTTCAAACCACTGTAAATAAGCAAAAAAATTTTTTTTTTTTTTTAGATTTTACAGTAAACATGTTAACATGAGAAGTAAAAAGATACAAAAGAGATGTAAAAAGGTAGGTAGAACACACCATGGAATAATTACACAAGAAGACTGCACAGAAAACAGATCTAGTTACCAAAACTTCCTGGTGAGAAAGATCCAGCACCAGCCTCTATTCCCTCAAACAATCCAGATTTCTGTCTTTCTATGGCTGAATCAGATGCCAGTTTAGAAAATGGGGACAGCTGGCTGAGTGATGAGCCGGGTGATACAGCTGACGGATCAGACACTGACAGTCGTCCAAATCTGCTCTGTGGAGTCCGCCGTCTCCTCTCCAGCTTGGCTTCACGTTTAAGCTGAGCTTTCAGTGATCGAGCTAAAGCAGCCTTGGAACGATTGAGGGCTGTTCGATTCAGCTGTAGTTTGGCTTGACGCAGCACGACAGTGCTCTGAGAAGGTAAGTTGGATAAAATCTGCTGCTGCTTGTAATGAGCCCTGAAAGCTTTTGAGGATAAAGAGCAAGTGGACGGGTCAGTGAAGAGTTTAGCTGGGGCGATGAGGCTCTTAGGAGCTCCAAAACCTTTTGTCTGTGATGGTAAAGGTGTCGGTGAAAATTTAGCGTCAGCTGGTGGCTTCTGTCCATCAGATTTAACAGCAGTGGTAGCATCCGACAACTGCTGCTGAAGCCGGATTTCATCAGCAGGATCGTCTTCCACCAGTTTCATTCTCATGATCAGGCTGGGCTTGCGGGGTCTCTTCCCCTCAACTATCAATGGCTGATCGAGAGACCCTAGAAGCTTCTGGTTAGCTAATCCATCCATAAAACTGGAAGTGCCGCTGGGCTGAGGAGCTGTGGAAAATGCTGGAAAGCCTTTATCTCTGGTCACGTTAAAGGGTGACATAGTTAATCCACATGATGGAAATGCAGAAAAGCTGTTTGATTTTTCACTACCAACTACCATGCCGAAGATGGGTGCTTTGAATGCTGGAGCTGCTGCTGTAAGCGAAGATGGACTAATTTTTGCTTGTTTGGCGACCAACTGGTGTACATTATCATCTTCCAAAAATCGCTTATTGGGCTTGATAACTCGAGAAGATCTGGAGCTTTTAGTAGGAAGAACAAATTTCCTAACTTTATGTGTTGAAGTAAAGAGTTTGCTGCTGGTATGCACTGCCTGTTTTGTAGCTCTGGCCAGAATCTGCTTAGCCATCGATGTGTACTTTGAGAGGGGTTTTGCACCAAATCCAGATGAAGCGGCTGCAATACTTTCAAAGCTGTTGCCCCTCTGCACATCAATAACCCCCTCTGCAGTAGTGGTATACTTCCTAGGCCTCCCCACAGGCCGACGGAAAACTGGTTGTGTGTCCACATTATGTGTCAGGCGTTTCAACCTGATGTGCTTCAAGTTAGACACATTGTCAGGAACAGGCTGACCATTTTGTTTTCCCGCTGCAACAGAAACTTTTGACGCTTGCTGTAGATGTGGGCTAGGCCTCGACACCTCCTGTAGTGATTTATTCCTGGATGTTTCATGCCATGAATTAGGTTTGATCTTACGTGTTGCATCCTGCACTAGCCCTGTCTCCACAATTTTTTTGTAAGTTTTTCTTAAATTGATAGGTGCTCTGGTGTTCTTTGTAAGCTCTAATCCCGCAGCTGCAAGGCAGGTTAGCGTGGCTTTAGACCGCTCACTTCTAAACTTCTGCTGATGTGCTTGCTGTTCAAGAAATTGCTTCTCTTGTTTGATAGCCCGCTGAAAATTCTTTTCTGCTGCTCGAACCTCGGCTGGCGTGAAGCCACAGAATTCTGTATCATCCTGAAAATAAATATATGTATGGTTTAAACAAGAGTCTTCTTACAATTAGTACATTATAATTCTGCAGATGGTTAGAAGGATTACTGCTACTTGACTTCAGCAGAGATCCAAGAGGGATCTTTAGCAGTTAAGCAGACAACAACAGATGACTCCTCCACAAGAAATTAGCACAAATGCAAAAAAAAAGATATGATTTTTTTAACAAACATATGTATGGTTAAATGTTTTATATAAGGGTGTATTTTAGTCTAAGTAAAAGGAACACTTTTTGATATCCAATTACTTATGTTTTTTTTAAAAGAATTTAATTACGTGAATAACTGCAGTATGTATGTTTTAACTGTCTCATAACAATTAATTTTAAAATATGTCTGTAAACTAACAACAATTAGCAAAGGAGCAAAAATATAACTCCCTGAGGTAAGAGAAAACTACACTAGCTTAACATAAGAATTTTAAAATAGAAGTGAAAATTAATAATTAGAATGTTTCACACAAGTGCGCAGCACAAAAATAATCATAAACACTGGAAGGGCACAGATCAACTAATTATTTTACCTCGAGGAGAGGGAATAAAACTCTGTAAGGACACAAAATATTAACTCAAAGCCAGACAGAGAAAGATGATTTTTAAGCCCTTCTATCCTGGCATGTGAATAATAAATACACTTTGCATGTGATCACAAGATGTGAAACATCATTTTCTCATGCATCTGATGATAACGATAAAACTGGCACATGTTTCTTCTGCTGCTCCTTTTTTCTTTCCTGGGGACAAGATAAACTGAACTGTGTTTTGTCATGATCTCAATGCCTTTCTACCATTTGGATTCTTCTTCCTCTTTGTGTTCACCAGCTGTGAACTCCGTAGGAGAGCTCTGGTTGTCCGCCCACTTCCAGATTTTAGTCTTGTTCCACAACCTGAGTGTCATGTGGACATAAGTTTTAAAGATGCAGACTGTTGGTTCCTTGCTTCTCAGGCAGATGCACCCTGACTTCAAAGGATCATCTAATTAGTCATCTCCCAGAACATGTTTTTTTGAAGAGACAATGAGTCAACTCTTGTTTTCCCACGACGGAGCGCCAGATAACATGCAGGGACTTTAGATTTCCATAACATCTGCTGTATACAATCTAGAAATAATTTTCTTGCTCAAATGATCATTTACAAACCAGCAATTCAATACATGAGACACTGCAAAGAACTGTTACAGCAGTGGTTGTTAACCTGCGGGTCGCGACCCTTTTTTGGGTCAAACGACCCTTTTACAGGGGTCCTTAAGACCATCAAAGAACACTTAATTATTGAAGTTAGGAAAAAAAATAATTGTTTGGGGGTCGCCACAACGTGAGGGAACTTTATTAAAGGGTCGCAGCATTAGGAAATTTGAGAGCCACTGTGTTAGAGAGTTAGGTCCCCGAATCTTCTCCCTCTTCATGTTCACCAGCTGTAAACTGTGGCAGAAAGTTCTGTCTGGTCAACACTCCTAGAATTTGGTTTTACTCCAGAGTTTAAGTTTTTACAGATTTAGCTTATTTGCCTGCAAGCTGCTGGTTCCTCGCCTTTCCGGCAGATGCACTCTGACTTGGAAGAAACCACCCCTATTACTCAACACGCTTGTGGGAATGGGGGCAGCAGTGGATCTATTACCCAACACCCACACCTTCCCAAATGGGCTCCAGTCCAGAACCCATATGGGGAAAGTCCCGTGAATCCAAATCATAATGAGGTGATCCTTACCACCTTTCCTTCACAATTTCAGGTTTCCAAATGATCCGGAACCTATTTTACAAGACTAGTGGAAAAACAAAAACAGAACTAAGAGTTGCATTGGTTTCATAAAAGCTAGAAGTTACATGGGCTTGAAACAAGTGAACAAAACAAACCATTGTGTACAAAGACTGGGTGGTTTATGGCTAACAGTATTTGCTTAGAAAAAAAAAAAAAAAACAGAAATTTTATTCACAATGGGAACCGTCAAATTCTAGAGAGAAACAAGTTAACTAAATCACATACCTATTCTTGATGTTACAGGTGAAGACTTATTCTTAGACTGACTATTTGGTATTTATTTTTTTAATGTTGTATTTTAAGTTCCACAGTACAAAACTATTTTTATTTAAAAATCATCTTCTCACTAACTAGCGACTGAATGTAAGTTTTCTGACAAAATTATAGGAGAACACAAAAAGTAGAAGACACAATGCATAAATGAATTTCTTTCACTTAATACTGTTAGTTAATTTGAAAACAAACAAATATACAATTTAAATAATGCGGATACAAACAATACATTGCACAATTTATTGCCAGGCATATTTCGCTGTATCTCATCAGGTGCGTTACTACAGAGTTACATCAACATAAAATAAAGCACAAAACTGAATAACAGGAGACTTTTGAGAATCGCAGAAGCCATAACAATAAAAATCAACAACCCCCTCCTTTGTAAGCAGACGAATTTATTGTACATTTGAAGTTACCCTGGTAGTCAGTGACTACTGTGAGCTTCCGGCGGCCATGAAAGAGAGACAATGTATCGAAGAAACTATTCCCATTTCAGTTGAATTTATTATTTATTCTGTTTTGTGTTTTTTTTTTAAAATGTTGATTAACTCTGTAGTAACGCACCTCATGATATACAGCGAAATATGCCTGGCAATAAATTGTGCAACGCATTGTTTGTATCCGCATTGTTTAAATTCATTACGGGAAAACATTGTTTTAAATGTACAAATATTATAAAACTGAAAATAAGCACGTTTAATTATTAAATTAGTTAACAGACATTTTAAAAGTTATTAGTGATATTAATATCACAGCAATTCCATTTTACGAGAATTTTTTTAAATTCATATTCACAATGACACATTTAACAACAGACATGAGTCATTTAGTGTTTACCTTTTTTTTTTTTTTTAAATGTTTTACAATGTTACCATTTTGAATGTTCTCTGTACTTAGAGCCATCTTACAAATAAATAAACAAAATTAAAAAAATATATGAGGAAAGTAGCAGAGCAGGATAATATAATATAATATCTTGGATTGTCATTATAAGTTATGAAAAAGGTGAAAGAAATTTCAATCTCTGACTCTTTAGCTGGATACCATTTTTCTTTTCACAATATCTTAATGCTATAACTATATTATTTCCAGTCGACTTCATGCTGTGTGTGACTGACTGTGTGTGCTACTTATCTGTTCTATACTACAATACAGGTTAGCCTTTGGTATCTGTGTCTGTCCTAAACATGCACATAGGCAAAGAAAAGCATACTGACAATCCCGAACTTGTCATACATACAGTACAGCATGAAACTAGAAACGGGTCAACATACAATGACTATCAAACGACACACATGACGTGCATTAATTTCTAGCAAATTACATATAAAAACGAAGCATATGTGAGGCGGTTTATAATTTGCACTAGTGTTTTAACTTAGGCACAAAATGCGCCGTATGCAGTTGCAAAAATACATACAAAACACTATCAAAAAGCTAATTCATTGTTGAATTTTCAATAACTACAAATCGAGGGAAGCCATTTTGGTCGGGTTGGTGTTGCCCTGTGTGGAGAATGATTACTTACCTCGTCAGAGTCGCCAAATATGTCCCTAAATTGTTGCAAACCTTTGTGGATGCTGGTTATTATGGATAATGTTGGATCTGTAGTAATTCTGGCTTCATCGGCACTATATCTGACTCCAATTCGATCGAATCGATAGCCAGGTCGACCAGGAAAACGTAGCCGCGCCATGTTGATTTTCTTATCTCAAGGTGTCGCAAATGCAATATGGCGGACAGCGGGCGTTCGGATGACGCAAAATTCCATTTATCTAACCAGTTAGGAAGCAATTGCTCCTGCTACCTTCGCCTGGCCATCTCATATGACATAAAAATCAAACCCAGACATGAATATTACACAGTATTTGTTGATTCCTTTGCAGATTTACGAAATCACTACACACGGTAACTATACATATTCAGGTATATGTAACCAGCCAATAAGAGAATACCGATTCCCCGCCAATATTTATCAACACACAGGGGACACAAGATAAGCATTTTAAGTCAGTGTCGATTGCTGTGTATTTACTTTGTATTTTGTAAGATATTTTCGAAAAATGTATATATCATCAACTACATTACCTGAATAAAGTAAATATTTAGTCTTTCAATTATGGGGAAGATAACATTTTGTTAATTGTCTGCATCATGCAAAAACGCGAGAAACAAAAAATACGTTTTTCTTAAATACACTTACACAAGAATGAAACAGGTTTACTAAAACTTGTTGATATACAATTAAAAAAGGAAAGAGGGACAGGAGGTTATAAATTGCTTTTTGGACCTAGTGGTTCGAAGCTTTCACTAGCAAACAAAAACTTATAGACACGGTACTTTATTAATAATTCACCACAAACAAGGAAATCCCCGGGTTACGGTAGAGCCTACCATTCAAGGGGGTGTTAGATTCAGTGTATAGTATAGGTTTGCAATATTAGTATATCATTTAGCTGTGCAGTTGTGTGTGAATGAACTCCTATGTGCAATCAGGGCTATGCCTTGCCAATTGGGGTATTTTGCGGGTAGCCCTAAAAAAGGCCAATCATTCTGGATGTATATTGCCAAGTTCATGAATTGACAATCAGAACAGTTTTCCGCCTTGTAAATAGACTTTCATTAATTTCAGCAGTTGTGTTCTCTCCAAATGCTGTTACGCCGAGGGCGGGGGTGAGGATAAGCTCTCAGTCTCCATGAAATACCCTCAAGGCATGCGTCTCTCAAAGCCTCTGACAGCAACAGCCCAACTCCTGGCCTTCTCGTGGCGGAGATGTTTAAACTAACAGGAGAAGGGGCGAAAGCGGGTCTCTGGCGCTTTAACCAGACGCTTCGGGTAGATGAGGCTCGTCAGTACGGGAGTGCAGCTCATCTAGGAGAAGGAAAACTCTGATTTCAAACCACGGGCAGATGAGGCTCGCCAGCACGGGAGTGCAGCTCATCTAGGAGAAGGTAAACTCTGACTACACACCTCTACTGCCTTGTGGCCATACCCATGTTTGGGAAAGTGCTTCGGGAGTAAACCCTGAGGAAAAATCCGGAGCTGGAATCCCTAAGGCGGTTTAGCATTGTATACAGTGCTATTCCGGCAATTCCTGCAACGTCCTCGGTGCCAAGTTGTACTGGTTTTTGCCTTTCCCTTGGTATCACCGGCGACGTAGAGAGGGGGTACTTGCTGCCTGGGCAACAGTCTGTACTCCAAATCAAAACGCCCTGGCCTGTGCCCTGGAGAGGTCACTCCAGCGATGCTTAACAGTTTCGACAACTATGGAGACAGAAAGTGAAAAACCAACTGTCACATTTTGAAAGAAACCGAACACAACGAGCTGTGGAGAGGAGACACCGGAGAGTAAAACTGCCTCACAGCGAGGGAGTATCTGCTTTTGTGTGTATCCTGTGTGGCAAAGACTGCCATTCCCGCATCGGACTTTACAGTCACAGCAGATGCTGTTCCCAAAGCCAGCGGCACATCTCCATAGTCCCCCGGGACTGACGGATGCCATTATTATTATTGTGTTCTCTCCACCAGTCACTCCAGGATTCAGTAATAGTGTATTGGCACAAACCTCCCGTAAGTAGTTTCCAATCCACAGTTGCTGTCGGCGATATGCCCACCTCTAATTGGCAACATTTAATGCTTGTCAACTTTGTCAGCTCTTGAGACCAGTAGTACAGAAACAGAATGATCCGTCTGTAATTCAGGCACGAGCCTTGCAGCCATGTTCCTTTTGTCAACTTTCCACACCGCCATTGGTCTTGGGTTTCGGTAAGCGATAACACCATTGCATGACCATTGCCACAACGTCTGATAGTATGCAAAATGCCATGATGTTGCAGAAAAACAACACTGCTGTTCTTGTCATATACAGGTGCTGCTAAGTCAAGGAAATTCATGGCAAAGATTGAACATGGCAAAGCTGCGACTCATAAATACGCTATCTGCAACAATAAACCTGAAGGACTTGGAAAGAAGAAAGAATAACTGATCCAACTTGTCCTCGTCTCACTGTTACCAGGCTGTATCTTAGTGTCGATGTTTTCTATATTTGTCTTGCGCTTCTCGGGTGGTTTTTGTGATGTATTTTCTCAACTTGTTGCAGTTTCATTTACACCATTTATCCATATTTTTCTTGGTCTTCCTCCCAGATGTTCTACTGTAAAAAGTCTATGCAGTCTGGTCTGGCTGCATTCTTACTAGATGGCCGAACCATTTCATTCTTTGTCTCTCAATATAATCCAGACATGGTCTTATTCCAGCTTTCTGTCTAATGCTGGTAACCCTGTCTCGTCTAGTGTTGTTAGTGACCTTGCGGAGACAGCGCATTTCACATGTAGTTATTTTCTTTCCTAGTGCCCTATTCATCTTCCATGTTTGGCACTGAGAACATAAAGCTGAACCTAATAAGATAATAAATAAATAAAATATATTGATAAATATAAATAACAAGATAATAAATAAAGATAATAATAAATCTAATAAGATTCCACTTGGAATCTAACTATGCCAACTGAAATCTTATTAGATATCTTTGTTAGTAAAATAAAGCACTTATAAGGTGTTCTTATAGTCAGGACCATGTGGCATTCTTTGTTGTGTCTACCTAACACCTTCTGCCTCCTGTAGTTTCAATCAGTTCTGACACAAGTGATCCTCCATGCCATGATAATAATGTTATTGGGTGTTGAAAATGAAAGTGTTTGTTTAAAAAATCAAAACTAATCAATACTTGTTTAGGGCTAGCACATATTGTGACTCTGAAAATGTTAAAATGAAGAGTTGTGAAACTGCAATAAATGGCTCATTACATGAAATGAATCCTTTTTTGTTGTTGTAATTGTATTTTTATTGTGTGTGCTTATTAAATAGTGAGGCATTTGCTTTGTTAAATGAGTAGTCACAAATGTCATTTTCTAAACAGTGCCCATGTAATATGACATTGGCCATTATGTCTATCAACGTCCTTCTGTCTTCTGTACTTTCTGTTATTGTGACACACATGTTCCTCTGTGTCATAATGCTAAATTGTCTTAACAACCTTTCCTCTTGCCTATATTTCCTATAACTGTTCCATTGTCATGACAGACACATTTTGTTCTTTTATGTGGGTACTCAGTTTTCTTTGTAAGTTAATTGCTGTTAAAGACCTTTTAGTCTTTTTCGTAAGTTAATTTCTGTTAAAGACCCTTTAGTTCTCTTTGTAAGTTAATTTCTGTTAAAGACCTTTTAGTTCTCTTTGTAAGTTAATTTCTGTTAAGACCTTTTAGTTCTCTTTGTAAGTTAATTTCTGTTAAGACCTTTTAGTTCTCTTTGTAAGTTAATTTCTTTTAAGACCTTTTAGTTCTCATTGTAAGTTAATTTCTGTTAAAGATTTTTTAGTTCTCTTTGTAAGTTAATTTCTGATAAGACCTCTTACCTTCACCTTTGTCTGCAAATGGTGTTTTAAAAATCTATGCAGTTTTTAAATAATCTACTATGATGTATTGTTCATGATCCACTTCAATACACCAGGATGAGCATTACGTAGCCCTGTGGAACTCTTTTTCTTAACTTGACTAAGTTGTTTAGCATAGAGCATTCTTCTTTGTATGCAAATCTGTCTTTGCTTGACACATTCTGCTTTCTTCTGCATTCGACCTTAAAAGGGCTGTTGGGATGTTGTGTTGTGGTTTACAGCTAGGGTGTGATTATCTGCATCTTTCAACCCAACTGCAAACTCTTAATTAATCACCTTCTACAACACCATTGCTATGGGGCAAAGGATTTATTCTCCCCCACACCCCTATCAAAAATTTGGCCCGTAGAACATGCATGGGGAGCATAAACCATTCTACATCTAATTTCTTCAACAAATTTTCCATTTGCTGTCATGAAAACATCCAAATACCATATTAGAAAACCTAAATTTGCTTCAGACTAGGCCTATTTATTTGATGCTGCATCCTAAAAGAGCAAAATCAGCATTACTGTCAAGGTAAATATATATTAGTATTTTCTGGGTGTTTTTTTTAAATACGGATGTGAGAGTTGGACTCTCACTGTGGAAATGGAAAGGAGGATTCAAGCTTTTGAATGTGAGTGTTACAGACGAATTTTACGCTTTAGTTATTTAGAACACAAAAACTAACAAATATGTCAGAGACAAACTACAAATTTACAGGACATAAGGAGCCTCTCTTGGCAGTGGTGAAACAGCCAGCTAGCTTGGTTTGGCCCGTGGTGAGTCGTGATTCGATTCCAAAGACTACTTCAAGGCACATTGGGCGTAGTCGAAGAAGAGGATGGATAAGAAGAACTGGAATGTCAGTAATGACAGCATCAAGAAATGGACAGGACTTAGTTAGTTGTGATATGATAATTGCACTCCGGACATGTCCATAGGTGCTCATATCCTTCCCTCAGTATGAACCCCTGCGTCCCGTGACTAATAGTGTCAGTTGTTTGTTGATTGATAAGTCTTTTTTTTTTATGCCTTGTGTTTCTCTCGCTTTTGGCTGTGCCAATCTTAACTCCCGATCTTTCATTCTGGTGAGCGATGTGGAATCGCTGTCTCGAAAGTCCTTTACCCTTCGCACTTCTTAGAGTGCAGTAATAATATCAGCATGATCCATGTGTTGACTTTCAGCAGTGATAGCCGATCCAGCCAACTTATCAGCCCTTTTATTTTCATCGATGCCTGCATGCCCCAGAACGAAGAT